GTTGGGGTGCCTGCCCTCCCTGTAGCCTGAGTGTCTGATCCTGATGTGGCCCTTGGGATTGTCCCCTTTGTGGGCTGTGGGTGTGTCACCCTTGTGGCCTGAAGACCTGCCCCTTGTGTGGCTTGTTCCTCCTGTGCCGACTGTTGGCTTTTCATCCTTGCAGCCTGAAAGTATGTCTTCCATGGGGCCTTTGGTCTTGTCCCCAGTGTGGATTGTGAATGTCCCCACCCTGCAGGTAGTGGGCCTCCTTCTTGTATGGGCTGTGGCTCTGTCCACTCTGAGGGAAGTAATCTTGCTACTCGAATGGACTGGGGGCCTGTTCCCCATGTGGCTTGCCGGTCTGCCCCTGGTGTGAGCAGTTGGCCTGTGTCCCCTCTGGGCTGAGGATCTGTCCCAGGCACTTGGATCCTTGCAGCAGCATGGCGAGGCCTTGAGCCCTTATGAGCACAGGAATACCCACTCCCCTGAGTCTCCTTTGCCTCTGCTGACCGGTTCCTGGGTAGGCTTTGGCCACACACATCACCAATGCAATCAGAGGAACTCCTAATCTCCATGTAGGATAGAGGGGATTTGGATGGCTCTGTCATGCAGTTTTGTAAGTTCTTCATACAGAAGCCCAGGATGCATGCCTCACAATTGGCTATGTCATGGGACCCATCCAAAGGCACCTCCAATTTCACTGGTATCTCTGAAACCTTCTTGATGCCATTTCTGTAGAATCTTTCTAGAATATGCTGTACCAGGTTGTTCAGAATCCTCTGGGTGCTATCTAGGGAGAACTCAGGCTTCTCAAATTGAGACCGGGAACACTTCCGGCACCTCTGAGCAAAAGTCCTCATAAGCACCTGGCCCTGGGACTTCCGGGGCTGCAAGTTCATGTGACATAGGATCTGCACTTGGGCAGAAGCCCACCTCCGTTGGCATGAGGAACACTGGAACCTGCAAACAGAAGGAAGAAGATGATTGTTCCCTCAACGGATTGTTGACCTGAGGGAAATGGGCCTGGCTTCAGTCTCTAAGAACCCTTTCAATTTGAGAAAGTGCATGTGATAATTGACAATTTGACAAGAATGAGAGGGATTGCATTTCTAATCAAGCTTTTTCCTGTGACCCACTGAACTTCCACCCATATGTGGCCCCATGTCTACTTCTTTGCCAGCAAAACATCTCTGCATGTCTTAGAGAGAAAAACATTTCTGTCATTTCCAGTGAAATTTGGTCTTCACAAGGTCATGGAAAACTCTTATAAAGTACCCATTTTGAGGCAAGCACTGCACTTGGTGCTTTACAGTGTTACCCAATTTCATCTTTAAAGCACCCCCTGAGGTTGGCATTATTGAGCCCAATATCCAGATAAGGAAACTGAGTCATAAATGATATACAGCTTGCCTAAGGACACACAAAGTAAGTAGAGCCATATTTCCAATCCCAAAGCCATTTGAAACCAACCTTGTTTTATCTACCTACTATAGCACATCACCTCTATTGAAGAACATGGCTAGTTTTGCACCTGACTTAGGACCTGGAGCCATAAACCCAAGTCCATAGTTTACATCAGGAGGAACTTTGGGAAAAGCACTTCCCTTCTCTAAGCCTCAATTTTTACATCCATAAAAAGAAAAATATTCAAGTGTCATATTGTCCACATTAAATGAGATATTATAAGTGAAAAGATTTTGTAAACTACAAAGTGCTTTTCAAAAGCTGGTCAGTATTTTTCTAAAACTTTGCTGGTAGGTTGCTTTTTCTTCATTTCAGAATGACTGTCAGGCCAATTTATCTGAACAAGAGAAGCACCTTCCCATTTTGGGGAGTGCATAACTGATAAAAGATATCATGAGTCCCTCAAAGAGCGCTGGCTGGTGCGGAGAGAGACTCTTACCCAGTTCACTGGGTTCCAGGCATAACAAAATGACTGCCATGTGGGCTCTGGTGAATGGCTTGAAAACTGTGTTCTGTAGGGCCCCAGGAGACTTCATGTAAACAATGGGTTCCACAGCAAAAACAATTATATATAAATATATATATTCTATGATATGTAATATATGAATATATGTTATTTATAAATGTACTATATGGAGAAAAGACAGCCTCTTCAGCAAGTGGTGTTGGGATAACTGGTCAGCTACATGTAACTCAATGAAGTTAGAACCCTCCCTCACACCACACACAAAAATAAACTCAAAATGGCTTAAAGAGTTAAATATAAGACACTAAAAACCTCCTAGAAGAAAACATAGGCAAAACATTCTCTGACAGAAATCTTAGCAATGTTCTCCTAGGACAGTCTATCAAGGCAATAAAAATAAAAGCAAAAAAAACCAAATGGGACCTAATTAAACTTACAAGCTTTTGCACAGCAAAGGAAGCTATAAATAAAATGAAAACCAACCTACAGAATGGGAGAAAATGTTTGCAAATGAGGCAACTGACAAGGGCTTAATTTCCAGAACATACAAACAGATCATACAACTCAATAACAAGTAAGTAAATAAATAAATAACCCAATCAAAAAATGGGCAGAAGATCTAAACAAACATTTCTCCAATGAAGACATACAAATGCCTGATAGGTATGTGAAAAAACAGTCAATATCATTAATTATCAGAGAAATGGGAATCAAAATTACCATGAGGTATCACCTCACATCAGCCAGAGTGGCCATCATTAAAAAGTCCACAAACAATAAATGCTGGAGAGGGTGTGGAGAAAAGGGGACCCTTCTACACCATTGGGAATGTAGTTTGGTGCAGCCATTATGGAAAATAGTATGGAGATTCCTTTAAAAACTAAAAATAGACTTTACCATATGATCATCAATCCTACTCCTAGGCATATATCTGGAGGAAACTCTAATTTGAAAAAAAACATGCACCCCAGTGTTCATAGCAGCACTGTTTACAATAGCCAAGACTTGGAAGCAACCTGAATGTCCATTGACAGATGACTTGATAAAGAAGTTGTGGTATATATACATGTGTATATATACACACACACACATGCACACATGCACACACACACACACACACAATGGAATACTATTCAGCCATAAAAAGAATAAAATAATGCCATTTACAGCAACATGGATAGGCCTTGGAGATTGTCATAGTAAGTGAAGTAAGCCAGAAAGATAAATAAAAATACCATATGATATTACTTATATATGGAATCTAAAAAAAAATGACACAAATGAACTCGTCTACAAAAGAGAAACAGACTCACAGACATAGAAGACAAACTTATGGTTACCAGAGGGGAATGGGGAGTAGAGGGATAAATTGGATGTTTGGGATTTGCAGATACTAACTACTATATATAAAATAGATAAACAACAAGGTCCTGCTGTATAGCACAGGGAACTATATTCAATACCTTGTAATGGCCTATAGTGAAAAAGAATTGAAAATGAATATATATATATATATATATGTGTACACACACACACACACATATGAATCACTGTGCTGTATGCTAGAAATTAACACAACCTTGTAAACTGATTATACTTCAATTTAAAAAAAAGAAGAACATTTTAATAGCTACTAAAAATAAATGAACAAATGTATTATAAATAAATAACATAGATCATACATATATATATATATATAAGAGAGAGAGAGAGAGAGAGATTGAATTAACTTATGGGACTGGAGAAGGAACACTTACTCTGCCTAGGGAGACCAGGACACTTGAGTTGGTCCTTGAGGGATGAGTAGGGAGGGAGGGAGATAAGGGCCTGCTGAACAGGCAGAACTTCATGGACAAGGGTGTAGAAGTCTAAAAATGTATGGCATGGCTAATAATCCATAATGAATGGAACAGAGGGAGGCAGGTAACAGATGAAGTGGAAATGAAGGTCCTTTTGTGCCATATAAAAAGAGAAGACTTGATTGTCCAGATGAGCAGTTCTCACCTTCCTGATATTGGCAAGGAAGCTGGCTCCTGCAGCTGGAGGCTCACTGGAAGTTAAAGAGGAAGATAGTCAATAAGGAAGGGGCACTACTTAGGGACTCCAAGAACTAGGTTTTAATTTCTTTCTTATAGCATCATTCCCTCCTGTTATCCTCAGGTCTTTGGTAAAGTGATGTTCAAAGCCATTGCTTGGCCTTAGTCAATTCTTGAGGCTGTACCAGTCCTAGGCTGGTACTGAACAGGCCTAGGGCTCAGAGGGCTGTGGCAGCCTGGGGAAGCCAGCAGGACTGATGAGGGAGACAGCAGAAGTCTGTAGATAGAGGCAGTCTGCTACAAGTGAGGTGGTGAGAGAATAGGAGAACAGATTCATGGCATTCCCTAGGATTTCCAGAAATATTTAGGGAGGAAACCTAAAAAAGAAGAAACTTCCTGCTGTTAAGAAAAATGGAAGGTTAGAATCTTATCTTTTCCATCCTAAAGAAGTGTGATTACAAAAGGATGAAGAGCCTGGTGACACTTATTCTTTTAACAAGCTCTGAAAAGAACTGATCAATGCTCAGCTGAGCCTCTTGGCCCAGAAAGGCCCATGGTGGACAGATTCTCACCTACCTGGCAAATCCTTTCTGCCGATATTGCTTCCACCCTGGGGCCACACAGTCTGGCTTCAGGTTCCCATCCAACTTCAGGGTCCATCTGGCCCGGGATTTCTCCTGCCGGATCAGTTCTTGAAATATCTGCTCCCACGTCCTGACATCCAAAGCCATTGTGTTGCTCTGAGGCTTGGAGTCCATGTTTATTGAGTAACTTTCAGTTTCCAGCAAGAGGCAAAAACAGTTTCGGTTTCCTAGCTTACACACGTTAGCTGCTGTTTTAACTTTCATTTCAGACTGAGTACACAGAGCAAACCTTCGTTCCAAAGACAGAGGGCAGCAGGGATTTGCTAATTTGTGAGCAGGCCTTACTAAGGGACGTATGAGTACAAAACTCTGGTCTGGATTCTGGGGCACCTATAAGTTAGCTTTTATTTTATTTTTCTTATATTTTTACACTGGGCAAAGCACTATGCTTGGCACCGGGACAGGTAACATCGACTAAGTAAAGCCGTTTCTACCCTCAGAGAAGCTCATGTTCTCATATAGCCACTGGGGGGTGGATGTGGTGAGCATGTGTCCTCACCACAGTCCTCTGAGGGGGATTATTCCTGGTATTTTTCAGGTGAGTGGCACAGAGAGCTGGGGTACCTTGTTCAAAGCTGGTAAGCAGTATAAGTGAGACTTGAACCTAGTCCTCTGTGACTCTAAAACCTGCGACATCTCCAACCACCTCCCTCCCTGAGGAGAAGCTCAGGACAGAGTTTTGGGTTTCATGTTGGCACTCTGGAGTCCGTGGGAGGAACCATCTTGAAACCCTGACCTAGTGATTTGTTTTGGTGAGATTTCCTAAGTTGTGAGGCAGGACACTAAGCCATATGAAAGGACTATCTCACTCCACCTTTCACTGTGTAAATTATGCAGGGCAGTATACAAGCAGGTGTGGAGGCCACCTTTGGAAGGCAGGATAGAGAGAGTTCCCATTCCTGGGATGAGGAGTTGGGACTAGATGACCTTAAAAGCCGCTTCTAACTCAAAGAGTCAGAGATTCTAGAAAGTAAGCTCTGTCCCTCTAGGGTTTAAATTCAAGACAAGCAAGACACTTATGTGATAAGGATTGAGGGGGTGGGACTGAAAGTCGAGGTGGAGGCCCTGTTTATGGCAATAATCCACTTGATAATTTATTTCAATAATTCCTCTAGCTTGGGAGTGGATGAGGATGGAGGATTGGCTTAGTTAAAGGAGAGAAACAAGAAATGTGGTCCTTATGGAGCAATAATTTTACTCACATTTTAAACATCTCTTTAACTTGTTAGCATAAACACTGTACGTATACACAGAACAGATGCAAAAAAATTTTTTGGTGGTTGATCTGGGGAACACTGAGGCTGGATGATTCCTAACCTAAGTCCATTCTCCTACCTCAGAGCTTCAGAGAAGGGAGAAGAGACTTCTGGACTAGGAGTCCCTGCTGTGTTGGTGATGCCAGACAAATATCACCTCCTGGACCCTGGGATGACCTGCCCAATAAGTGGCAGAGCCAGGACTCAGATTTCTCTGATGCCACACTAATTCTCACGAAAGGATGGGCATGTCTAAAGAAAGAATGGGTTGCTAATAGTAGAAGAACAGGTAGAAGGCACGGGGAGCTGTTTTGGGGCATCTGAGTGGGGGTCTTCGTGCTGCTCCACTAAGGACTGTGCTCACTGAGCTGAGGCCCCTGGGCATGTGCTAGTTAGGACAACTTCTCAGCAAAAGGTCAGCCCGGAGAGGGAGGGAGGTGTTGAACTCACATCATCCTAGAATGTAATGGAAGGAGCTGGTTCTTCTCCTCATTACTGACCCCACTGCACATTACAGATAGTCACAAACACAACAGGGAACAAGTGAAGTTAAGGAAAAGCAGAATTGGACAGCTGCCTTAAAAAGATTCATTAACACATTTATCAAATATGTATAACCTGCTAGTCCTTTTTCTCAGGCAGGATGCAGCCCAGCAGGAAAAGCCAAATATATAAAAGAACATCTAGTTTTCCTTTGCCCTGTCTCATTTTTCTCAACTTATCCTTTTGGTTAAGAGCATAGATCTGGAGCCAGCTGGCCTGGATTGAATCCTAGTTCCACTGTTTACACCTTGGTGGCCTTGGACAAGTCCCTTTAACTTCTCTGTGCCTCAGGTTCTCCATCAAAAATGTAAGGATAATAACATTATCTACTTTGCCAGTCTGTTGTGAGGATTCAATGAGCTTGAAGATAGTTATTGGCACTTAGTAAGCAAAAAAAAGTGTTTGCTATTTTTCTGTTGTTGCTATGTTGCACGTTTCTTTGTAAGTTTCCATACAGTCTTTCTTAAATATATTGGGGATACAACAAAATAAAATTAAATATAATTGTATATAATTTATTTTAAAAAATATGATACATATATATGTGTATATATAAATAATAATTTATATATACATATATATATGTAGTAGTACAAGGTGAAAAAACTACAAACAAGCACGTATATAAGGACTCCGAGAGCACAGTAGTCACTTAGGAATCCAGACGGACCGCTAAATATTCCTATCACACCTTGTTATCTGTCCCCAAGCCACTCTGTTCTGTGCACCTCCCTGGCGAGGCCAGCGCTCCCCTAGGACTCACATCCAGCGCCTGTCTGGACAGTCCGCTCCTCTGTAGAAGGTGAAGTAAGACATGAAAGGAGCAGTCAGTCCACAGCAGCTGCCGCTCAGGCCCAGCGCTAGGCCTCCTGAGAACACCACTCCAGACAGCGAAAAATCACACTCAAAGGACAATAAAATAAACCTTTTAGAAAGAACCAGAAGAAATGTGTAAAATCAAAAGAACTAAAACAAAAACTCACAAGTTTTCAAAGGAGCAATTTTTTTTCACAGTTTCTGTGAAAACCTGTTTAGTGTCAGGCCTCTCACAGTTCATCTGGGAGGCTGGGGTCTGCCTTGATAGACAACCATTTGGATAATTGGGGGTAGAAAGACCTTCTGTGAGCTTGAAGAAAGCCGAGCCTCAGAGAGGAAGGCGGCCAACCCCAGGTTGCCCAGTCTACAAACAGAGCCTCCACTCGCGTTCCTAACAGCCACCTTCTCCTTTTCACATAGGTGGTTTTAAAACCAGAGCCAGAGCTATCTGGGCTCTGATCCAAGGCTGTGGTGAAGACGTGATAAAACAGAGTCTTTAGGCAACCCTCTCCACCCACCGCAGGCCAAGCCAGGAAACCAGCAGGTGGAAGCTACACCCGTTCCTTGGCTTTTCTTTCGTCCCTGATTCACTTTACCCAGTTCCTCACTCCTGCCCCCAGGGATGACCTGCATATTAACAGCCTGCACCAAGTTTTGTCTCAGGCTGTGCTTCTAGAAGAACTCCAGCCAAGACAAAGAGCAACTGAATTTTTCTTCACTTCCTGCCCATGTGTAAAAAAGCATCTTCCAGTTTGACATGGATGGAGCCTAGAGGTCATCACTCCCTCACAACAACAAAAAGCCAAACAAACTCAAAATCAACAACTAGCTTAGATTCCTGGGAGAATTAGGGTCACAGGGGAAACTGCTGCCCTGACAACTGGAAGGACGGATGCAGGGAGAGAGAGGATCCAGCTTACCATAGTCAGATGCTCTGGTGCAGAAGCCGCCGGGGGAACCAGTACCAGCAGGAACGCTTTATACTGTCATTGGCCACTTGCTGGAAGGTCAGTGGACAGCCTGAGAGTTTAAAAATCCAGGGGGTCCATTCTTGGGAGGGGTTCCCACCCTTTCATGAAAAACTCAGGAAAAACTCACTGCGAACAAGGGGAAAAATTTTCCTGTGCTTCTGGCAGAAGGAAGAGAAAAATAACCATTTTTTAAAACACTCAGAACTCTCCGTTCTTAAAGTCTGCCTTTAAGGAAAACGATTTCACTGGAGCATGACACATTTGGGTTTTACAAAAGCCTAACTGACCCACGGGAAGGGAGATAACCAAGGCTAGTCTCCTGGCCTTTACCGTGAAGGATGGGAATGACCCCACTCCTTCCCGTGTATGATTTCTTCTCTGCCCAGTAATGAGGACAAAGCCCACCAAACCTGAAGTAACGAGAGTGCAAAGTTGGGCATATGCTCAAGGGGGCAGGTCTACCCTTGTCCTGCTTTCTGGGAGAGGAGCCAGGTCCCACACAGGTCAAACTAATTCTCTACTCATCTTATAACATCTGGAGGAGAAATAAAGAATTCAGCCATCAAGATTTCTAAATATACAACTAGAATCATTAAACCACCAAGCCATGGAAAACATTTTAAAGGCCCTCTAAGTCCCAGTCTTTATTTGCTTGCTTTGTAATGGTTAGCATTTGAATTAGTAAAAATTTGGATACTATTTCTTGAGTGACTCAGGGAGAAAAGCATTAGACTTAAAACTAGAGGACGAGGGTATCTGTTCCACGTACCACACTGAGTTATCAAAGCTCTTTGAACCTTAATGTCCTCATCCATCGAACTGAAATAATAATATTAGATCCCATCCCATTAGATTTAATGATATATGTACTGATATGATATAGACATGAACCATAACTACAAAATATCAGATAGGATTATTTCAAGAAAGAATATGTAGAGGCTTGAAACAGTAGCACTTGGGTGGAATAGAGCACTTAAACTGATTATTTAACTGGTAAAGTAGAGATAAAGACCCACATATGGAAAGGAGAGAAATATTTAAGACCTAGAACCCACTGTCTGTGTCTGTATGTTGTGAAGAGGGAAAGCAGAAAGTAAAATAAATAACTAAATTTTAGAGCTCTTTATCTCTGAGTTACATTAATCCCCATATCTGTGTTGTCCCTACAATAGCCCAGTGGCTTATGACTCTTAAGGGATGTTTCAGAACAGATGCCTCTAAGGGAGCTTTGTAAAATACAGATGTCCAGTCTCTCCTCCAGAAATTCTGATTCCACATATCTAGGGTTGGGGAGGCCATGTGTTTTTTGAAAGCTCCAAGAATGATACCAAAATACACACCTGCATAAAAATCACTATAAATTAAAAATCTGAGGCTGAGGAAGCTTGAGCAAATTGCTAAGATATAACATTTGAGTGGCAGAGATAGGTGGTGAATCCAGGTTCTTTAAATCCCACTTGTGTGTTTTTCTCCGTCATGCAGTTCTGGAAGGCAAGGTCAGCCTTCATTAGTCTAGTCATTATGGCTGAGTTGAGCTGGCACCAGAAAGCAGCTTGCTCTCTGATGGATGG